TTGGACTCATTGAGATAACGCCGTGAGATTCCCTTTCCAATTACTGCCTTGTTTACGGGCAATTTTTGTAGGTGCTCACAACACCAGCCTGAGGCACGTAAAAGCTGTTAAGGCCCTCTTACCGACTATCGTTTCGAAACTCTTGTTCGCTCGACTGCCGATACCTACGCTATTCTAACTTGTGATTTTTTTTCCAAGTTGCAATACTAGAATTACTTTTTTTCTAAGGACGTGTTTTTGCTGCAGGGTTCTTCTGTGCAGTTTTTGCAACGATTATTTCATTGAAGAAATCTTGTTTATACATGAAGATGGGCAAAAGATTTTTTGGAGCGAATTTTTTCCTCTTATTGCTTGTAATATAATAAGCGATATCTAATTATCGCTTGTAATAAGGAAGCCTTTATGCGCAAGTATCTCTTATTTAAAGGATTATTCAAAAGAGGTGCGTAATTCTTCATGTGTTAGTTAATGTGCTTGCTTCTCTGTTTCTAAAAGCTACCCGATGTTTTATCGCTGCACTTCTGTATAATTTTCAGATTGAAAGTTATCATTGTTTTCGATTTTTCGATTATTTTATCGCCAGTCCAAACACACGCATAATAATATCGGCGCTCTGCCTGGAATGAATTAACACCTCTTATTGCCGCAGCCCAGAAATACGATGAGTGTCAAGGATCGTTAATGATGCGCTTAAAAATGCGATGTTTTGGAGTAATTGCGACAAAGTTTGTCTGGCGGTCCAGAGAGAAATTCCTCCATTCGAGACGCCCAAAAGAATTCGTTAGCGCCGCGGAAATAGCGTCACAAGATAAAGCGACCCGTCCGCCGAGTTCTTCAATGTTGGATTGAAGTTTCGATGGGATATTTTCCTGGAATTTATCGCACTTTACGGGCACTTTTTCGCGCGAAATTCTTCCGCAGATGGCAGGTTGTGATGTCGAGGCTCTCATTTTATTCCCGACAAATAATGTAAAATTAAGCGAAGTGAGGCGTCATTCTTTATTCGCTAGTCCAATTTATATTCGTCTATATTCAAGCGCTTTAAATTTAAAGATCGTGAAGACCTGGAAGTAAGACGTGTATATATTTCTATGAGTTGACATTGATTACAGTTGTGATTAAGTTCGTTCAAAAAGTAAAAAAGATCATATACATACAGTTTGAATTTCCACCATGGTTTTCATGAGGATTCATCTGTCATTTTAATTACTTTTAAGTACGCTAACCGACCGAACCATGGTAATCAGCGCCCCAATATCATTTATTGCCAACAAAACGAGGCTTTAGAGAGGGACACTCTGCAAAATTGGGTTTTTCTTTTGGGAAAAAATCAAGTGCAGAATTAAATTTCCATGTTTGAAGGTTTAATGTGAAGTTAATGTTTGGTTTTCAGATCCCTTTAGAGCATGAGCTGATCTTTTAATGAACTATCGCCCTGAACAATGATGACAGATGAAGCTTCTGATTGTGTCTAATGAACTGGTTTGTACGAAATTCTCGCAGCGATGCACGTCTATTAAAGCGATGGTCTTCACTTATATAAGTGTACGAAATCCTGCTCTATTCTCCTGCAAATTATTCAGACGACATTTAGGGCATCGTAATGAAATAGATCAACGTTGTCTTAAATTTACTTTCCATTTTCTTTGCTCTTAAATCCCTGGTGAATTTGTAATTAAAGCTGACTAATATAATTCACGCATATTAAAAATATTATCTATTGATTCTGATATAACAGATCGCAGATTTTTCTGTGATTGCGGTACATTTTAGCTTAAATGGTACACATTTTATTTGATAATTTATGGGACATGTCTCCTGACAAATCATGCATCTGTTACTATGTTTAATTTTAACAAATTAATAAATAAAGTACGAGTAATGCTAAATCCTAAAGACGCAATTTATTTCAAGTTTCATAGCGTAATAAAATTAATTTGCAAAATTCTTAACATCTTATCTTTACTAATTTTGTGACATACTCGAAGTTTTTCGTAAAGGGTTATTAAGTATCCATCATTCATTTTCAGCGAAACTACTCGTGTCTCTGCGCATTGAAACATTTATGCGGGGTATATGGTGTAATTTGGACATAAAATGCAACTCAGTGCAGAATACTTGCACCGAATTTTTTTTTTGAGTGAATATATACCCGCATGTTGAAGCGTCGGTCAGCTTTAGCTCGCTCCGTGTGACACCAACCGGTTAGTGTGACCGGTCTCCAAAAATACTCGTTGAAAAGCCACGCCTGCCGGCTTCCTAAGTGATGCACTCTGTACCACCAAATGCCATTACACGCTTGCCTTGAAATGGACCTGTATATTTCCTGTATATTTCTGTTCCATACAAAGCTGGAAGGATTGAATTCGTGTGTCATCCTCTTCGACATGAGGATGCACGCTGAGAAAATGCTGGAAAATTTTATGTTTTATATTCCATTAGTCTTAAAGTTTTGCACTAACATTTTTAACACTGTTTAGGAAATAGTTTTTGACATTTTCATTGTCGTTATTATTCCTCTCATGTTGTTCGTTTCTTAACAGTGATAAACATGTAAGAATGTATTAAAGACTAGGTATGAAAACAAAAACATTCCATTCCGCCCATATTTTCATCCTATGAATTAATCCTATCGTTACCATGCAAAAAAGGCACATTTATATGACTTAATGTATATTTGTTGTTCAGCTATATCAATTATGGGTGCATATATTAGCTATTTATTTATGCGAATAAATATTTATTTTTAAATAGATGTAATTTTTATATTTTTCATTCTATTATTAGTGGTCTTTAATCATAGGAATACTAAAACTAAACTAATACATAGGAAACTAAAATTATATATCTTCTTCTTCTCTATTTTCTAGTATTACCTTTGAGATCTTATGATGCGGCCAAATTCGTGTTGCATGCAAATTCAATTCAGTTAATGTCACTTGTTTGCTTGAATCGCAAATTAACTAGAAATTTAAAAGCGACGAAAATTCCACAGAAGTTCATTGTGTCTTTATATAGAAAACGTTTCGGAGTCCAGCTCCACCGTCAGTTCGACGATTCTAGAATGCAGATAAAATCGCACGCTTGTACAATAATTGAAAGTCACGGAACCGAAACTAAAACCTAAATTTACAAATGAAAGACAAAGCACAAGAAGAAAAACAGCAAAACCTATCTATTCACAATATCAAGTGAATGGGAGCTAATAGCTGAATTTATACTGGGCCTAAGTTTAAAAATGTACAAGGATTCTAAAATACGCAGATCTAAAGTACCGGAATTGGGAGCTTACACCCTAAAGTCACTGTCAGATACAAAAACATTACATTGCCTGCACAAGTGCGCACAGCCGAATGAAGGGGGAGCGATAGCAACTGTCCGGTCCTACAACTCGTGCCCTTATGCTCAGCGACCCTGGAATAAAGATTGCGTGACGTCATCCCGACGCACGGTGATGCACATCGTGCACAATAATGTTGATAAACTAGGGACGATCGCATATGAACAGAGAGCAAATCTTTGTATCTAAAGAATGAACTTTTAAAACTGTTTACCAACACAACATGAAGATTGACATTTGGGAAGTATTTCATGAGCAAGACTTTTATTTCTCTAATTGACATAGTGTAGCTGTGCTATACTCCCGTCTTTTGTTATCCAAGTTCAAGCTAGTAACGATTATGATGTGCCGCATTCGCATTGGCTCTTTGGAATGATCAGCGTTGGGAGTGACCGCAATCTCATGTCGCGTTAATTTCGTGAAATGAGTAGGTAATTTTAGTAATAAGCATTGCTGAATATTGTTCCTATGGTTATTAGATTACCGCAGCGGTGACTTCCATGATCTTTATGAGTGGCGGGTAAGCCTTTTGATTTGTGATACGTGTCATGACCTAACGATGACCTTAGTCTAAAATTTTATTCTGTTGATTTTCACAATTTCCAACATGTAAAAATGCATAGGATAAATACTGGCACACATCCCCCGATCGATTTGAAATTTTGTGACCGAGTTTTGCCTGATTAGAATATTAAACCTATTTTGTGTATTTAATGGTTATTCTAGGACGTTTAAACCAATTTTTAAACTGCTGTATAAGCCTTCTTAACGCAAATGGTTACTCTTGCTTATCGTATAATAGGTTCGCAATGGGTCATCCGTTTTGCTTTAGGTGTGTCCGGTAAGAAGGGCTTGTTTTTGTACACCCGTTAGCACGTCTCCCACAAAAATAGTTTTGGACGCAGAGCTGAAGTATGTAAAAGAACAATGAGCAACGTTCCTACTATCCCCCTCAGTTGCCTTCTATATCCACCCTCGTGTGATGCATCCTCGATTAATTCATTTGACCACTAGAAAAGATCACTTGATTCAGGACAAACTATAGATTTCAATCATTTTTTAAACAGCTTGTTACCGACTAACAGAAAATAGAAACTTAAAAACCAGCTGCCGGAAAATCAGTTGCATTTCGGGTGGAGTTTGCCTTAATTTATGGGCTGGTGTGGCAATGAAGCCAAGTGAGGGCGCAAGACAGGCTTGCCATGTATATATAGCCAGGCTGGACGGTGTCCATAGCGCCCTAGGATTGTCGCTGAAGTAACGCCTGCGTTCGCTCATGTTTCATTCATGTTCAGAGCGTTGGGTGCAGTGGCCGCCTTGCATCACTTTTCGGTCACCATTACTGGAATTGCTGGCGGTTTCATGGCGCGATACTACCTCTATTTTAGAGCTGCTATTGCTTTGCGCCTTTCGACTCGAACAAGATGAGTACGTTCTTTCCTGAAACCGTAGCTGCTTCTGCTATGTTGAGTTGGCGCCAAATGTACAGAAGTGAATTTGCCAGAAAATGAAATATTCTGCAGAATATAATTTTCCTGTGACATAAGTATAAAATTGAGAGAAATTAAATTAGTGAACTCATTTTATAAAATTGTACTCTAGAATTCTTGTATTGGGGTGGCCATTTCTCGCAATTGACAGTCTTTCTCCCACAGGATGTGCCTTCCTAACGTACAGTTCACGGGAGTCTGCGCTCAACGCCCAGAACGCCTTGCACGAGAAACGGACTCTGCCAGGGGTGAGTAGCGAGCGACCCGTGAGCTTTTCTCAAGCGATTTTTATGATCTCTGATTGGTAACTTACGTACTTAAACTAAAACACTTTGAACAAATAAATTAAACTTACAACGAGAATTAAAAAACTCAGTCTATGGAATACAATTTTTTATGTATGAGCTTTTTTCAATACCGGAGCCAAATTATTATAAATCCAACATTTAAAAGATTGATACTAAATGTTTTTTGCTTTTCGACTGTTTCTCAAGTGGTTAAATTGAAGGGCTTTTCGATATCGTATCCACAATACTCGTCTTTTCAGATGTTGATGAAATTGTGTGTACGAGGTGAGTGTGAACACGGTTCAAAAATGTAGGTTCAATCAAAGTAGCTAGTAGCTTTCGCTAGATAGAATTTAAATGTCATTGATCGGGATATTCAAAACGTTTAATCGAATTTAAACCTTTTTGATGCAATATATATGTTATTGGATGAAATTTAAATATTATCGTTTGGAAATTAGAAATTATTGGATGGATTCTAGATATTATTTGATGGAACCAAGACTACTATTGGTGTAAATTTATATACTATTGGTTGAAGTAGATTCTTTTGGATTGAATCTAGATTTAATTGGATATAATCTAGATATTTTTGGATGGAGTCCTAATCTTACTGGCTGGAATATGGATGCACTAGCTCGTAATTGGATGAAATACAGATACAGCCCCATAATTTTAATGAATCCACCTGTCAGTCTTGAATTAATCTTCCAAATGAGCTTCAACGAATATCGCGTGAAAGGGAAATTTTTCTCGCCAGCTAAATATCTATTTTTGTAAAATACAATTGATTTTCGTTCATACATATAATCGCCTTGCCCAAGTATAATTTGATTCCCAATTGTGGAGATTGTAAATTTGAATCAATCCTTTCGCTCTCGAATTGTATTTGTTTCATGACTATTTATTACGTTTCGAAAGTTCTTTAAACGGTTTTTAACAAAATTTAATTTGTATGACTTCAAATATGTTTTTCTGACGACCTTTTTGAAAAAATTATATTTCTTCTGCACATAGAGTGAATGCTTTTCCCTCGCTGCGAGCTGCAGACCTTCTAGAAGGTTCTTATGCATGCATGTTTCATCAACTGGCTGATTTTGTCTGTTATTAATTGATTGTCGTGTTATTAATTGAAATGAAATTGGTTTCCACTTACTAATGTCAAAGCACTTGTTTGCAGAATTGACTTGAGAAATACATTGACTCTCGTCTCTTAACGGAACCCAAGTTCAGCCGAGTAAAGATCCGTGCTTTGCCTTCGCCCTAATAAAATTCCGAGCTATCCTCCTGATTTTTAGAAATGTTTTCAAACGGGACTGTTGATTTCACCGACTGGCGAGAGTCAGAAGCGAGCTGGGTCGCCCTCAGATACCAAAGTGTTTTATCCTCGGCTCGGAAATTGTCCCATCTTCATATATACGTCCGCCCACAGCCCTAAAGTGAGAGGTCCGACGCGGGGAAAAGGTCCAGATTTTTCCGACTGTCGGAGAGAAGCTTGTGTAGGATTTCAGCTTTACATTTATTGGTGTTTGAGCCCGAAATAATCGTCGCGTTACGAGATTACATGAAATGAATTTTCTCCTGTAACGTGTTTCAACCTAGCTTAATCTATTATCAGGCTTACATTATGCCACTCGCTGCTAGTATGATTTGATTTTTTGCTTGTACAGTAGCAAACGGCATTCTGACTTCATTCGAATGTAATTTATTATCCATTTCGTATCGCTCCTGGGTGTTGGAAATCACCTTAAGTGCAGCAATTTTAATGCCACGTACATTAGTAAAGGTCCAATCTTCCGCTAGATTCTGTATGCTTTGAGCTTGCATAATCTGAAGGTCTTGGGTCAACGATGTCCAATATCTACAAAAATATGAATCGAATATGGGAGTTGTCAGGAGGATGGGATTCGATATTAACGATAGCCTTGTTCTTGCATTGGGACTGTCGGTACCAAGATAACATGCCCGTGGGGGAGCAGGAATCACTCCCGTCTAGATTTGCTCACCAATGTCCATTTCTATGCTAATGCCCACGTTTGGCGTTTTCCGGGACGATGGTTCGGCAAGAAGAGAATTTTATTCACCAGCCTTTTCTGTCTCCCTCGTGCAGTGCGTGACATTACCTCCGCCTTATTCTTCCTTGGGACTCACCCAAGAACAGAGCAAAAGTTTTTCCTTTTGGCAGGATTGTCAGATAGGAAAGTTTCTCCCTTTGTGGTTTTGCTATTTTAATTAAGTTGCCATATATTTTTGGCCGCAGATTTAAACTATTGCTGATTTTCAAGACTAAATATGGTTTGTATCTAAAACTCTCTGTGAACATCCAAACAAAAGGATTAAACGCTTGTCAAAAGTATGAAATATTTTGCGAAATTTTTATTAATCGTAGCTCATTATTAGATAAGTCAAGTTATCAGGAGACTCGAGTCATCAAAGGCCTTTAATGCCTCGCGGTGTTCACAATAAATGGTCTTTGTGTTCCGTCCCAACACTCGAGCAGGCACCAAAGCGTCACCTGAAGAAGTCCGTCAATAGCAGACACGTTTATCTTCACGAAAGCTTGCTATTTTCATTGCCTTGTATTATGACAATCGAAAAGCTCTATTTTATTCTTTGTTGAGAGCTTGGAAGGTTTAAGTGCTCGTCAAATATTGTGGCTGGCGAGGGTACTGAGAACGTTGATACAGGCGCGTCTAGTGTTACCCGTAGCAGCACTTAGAAGCTTGCGTCTGAGTCTGGCTCTCCAGTCCGCAAAAATCGCCAGCTCGGCATCTCGCTAGTTTGCAGAATTTATAAAAAATATAACTGTCTGAACACTTTAAAACAGAATTTAATATCTAACTATATAATGAAATTTCTTCGTTTCCCGTATTTAATTACAACAAACGAATATAGATTGGATGTATTATGAAAATCCTCTGACAATAGATATTGGATGTACTAGTATTTTAGCACAATACAAATTTTATTTATGGTTGGTTGCTTAATCTCGCTTTCCACTGAGCAGAATTCGTATATAAGTATTTTCGCATTAATTTACAAAATTTTTAAATTCGTGCAGACTTTTTCGCTCTCTGTACTGGACTAGAGTCCATAAAACGGATCTATATTCTAGTATTTCCCTAATTAGTTTCCTTTATCGTGGATACAATTTAGACACGTTTATCGCGCGTCATTAGGTATCGGCTGCATACCTTTAATAATGCATATTAATATATTACGCACTTTTATGTAGCGTTACAAATATTTATCTTGAGTAATGAGCGAGTAACTGGCGGCTTGATTGAATTTCCAGTTTAAATTTCACTGGGGGTCGCTTGGACAGGTTATGTCGCGTGTTTTATTATTTAGTGTTGAGAGGTCTACGTTTATGGTAGCTGAAGAAGCTCAAAAATTTTATGACCATAAATGTATTCATCCGGAGTGCATCGACTAGTGGTACTCGTATCATGGTTTAAAAACCCGCTTCCTAAACAAAAGTTAAACAATCCATCCATACATTATATTAAATTATATTGCAGGTGTAATTCAGATGGATTGAGACCCGATTCAGAGATCATTTTGAATAAACATCGTCTGAATTTAGTTGACTCGTTTTCGCAGTTTTTTTTAAATTATGTATGTAAAATATTAAATCTTTGAACATTTTAATCACACGGCCTCCTGAGGCCGCGTTATGTTTCTTTCTTCCTTCTCGAGTCTCCAGCTTCGCATGTTTTTTTTCGGGTATGATTTTTGTCATTGAGATGCAGGAAATTCTTCAGAACCACGAAGCCCTTAATAAAATATATTGCGGCGTCAACTCTTGAGAACGTTGTCCTCATAATCAATTGAATGTCATGATTTACGCTGCAAGAGTTCATTTTGTCAAATTTTCTTCTATTTATAGCTTATGTTGAAAGAATTCGTCGAAAGTGTCCAATGTCTATGCGAAAAAAGGGCTGTGTTGTTTAAAAAATTATTCTCACGATCGGATTACTAATATAATTTTATTTCTAGAAAAATTTATAGTTTCTTAAACTTAGCGACAAGCTACCTCGGTCCTAGACTATTGCTCCTTGAACGTTCTCGAATGATCAAACATCTAAATTTTGAGCTTATTTCTCGACGTAAAAGTTTCTTCCTCAACATTTCCAATATTCTACGCTATGATTATTTGTAACATTTAGTATATCAGACGTGTCTTTTGGTGTTTGAAAGCAGGACTAAATTATTAATCTGTATTTGCTGCCTGAAAGTTCTCGCCAACTTGAATATTTGTATGGGAAGGCACTCCGAAACTGGCTGCACCCAGTGCCTCTCTATCCAAAAGCACGCCAACTTCAACACTCACTTGAGTTTTGGCTAAAGTTTGAATGAGTGAAGTGTCGAGTATGTTCAAAGTTGGGAAATAATTTCTTTTGTGGTATTTCTCCGCATTATTTAACATTTGGTTGGGACAGATTCGCTTTTAACTAAATGCTTCGCGTGGCTCTCACAAATGGCTCTCTCCATTGTGGCTCTTCGTTTAGTACCGCTTAAAAAATATTATTTTTAGAACTAGTAATACCATTCGGATAATAGGCTTGAAATTATGTGCAGAGTTTCACAAATGTGCTAAATTTGTTTAAAGATTGTCTATTCTGATCAGTTATAATCTCTTCGTGTTTCTAAAACTTTGAGTTTGGCGGAATTTCTTTTAAATTTCAAATTGCAGCATAGCGGATCACTGGTCAAAATGAAGTATTCCTAACAACAACAAAACAAAAAATGGTATTTCTAACAAGGACCTCCGAACTTGTGCGCCTATGTTGCTTATATGAAGGAATTCTAAATTTTCAGAAACTTACTGCGAAGTCGCGTCAAAACTTCATAAAAAGAAATCCGATTTCTGAAGTCTTTCTCAAACGGCCATCTCCTTGCTAAGCTCACGAGCACAAGTTAAAAGATTTTTAGTGAATATAATACAGTTCTTGAGCTTC